GGAGCGTTACGTGGGACGTAACACTACTGTATATCGCTGATTTTTTTATTCCAAAGTGATACACAACATTTACTGTAGGCTAACCTTTAAAGATAGTCATACGCTGTCACGGACGTTTTTGTAACATTTTTTATGCTCAATAATTTTTCCGTGTATTGTTTTTGTGTTCTAAGAAAGCGGTCGGACGACCAATTTTTTGTCGATTTGCTTTACTAAAATAGTCATTGTTCGACTCCCTCTTATCATAAATTATTCCTTAACCCAAACCTCCCTCGAGAGATGATCTATAGAATAGTGAAAACCGCATCAGAATCTGTACAGTGGTATTTGAGATTAACCTGTTCAAACACAAACAGATGCCTTTAAGACTTTAATTTATACTATATAAAGAAGTGATTAAATTAAAATATGGTGCACCACAGGTAATCGTGAACTCCAACTATTTCAACAATACGGTGAATTTTAAAAACTTTGAATTGAAGGAGCAGCTGAAGATGCTGGACCACCCAAAAACAGCGATAACGTAATGCAAATCCGTTTACAAATATTAAAGACATATTACTTTGTAATTTTTTTTAAATATTTAATATCCATTTCTTGCAGATGGGAGATGAAAGCGACTGACATAAATGCTGAATATTGTCGTCATTCTAATTCGCTATGTAAGTTTTGATCTTTTCCGCGTGTGATAAATTAATGTTGTAATTCGATTTTTTCTATTTTCAGACATTCCAGCGGGAATACTGCAAATGCCTTTCTACGACGTTAACGTTCCGGAGTAAGCGATTGCCATATCTTATTTTTTCGATTTTTCCTTCGAAAAATGGAATGCTATTTAAAAATATAATACCGTCTGCATCTATTTCAGTGCCGTTAATATGGGTGGTATCGGTACCATACTTACTCACGAAATATCACATGCATTTGATGTCAATGGTAAGCTTTGCGATTATCCTCATATTAATTAACCAGTTAAGGTGATGTGAAAGGCGATAAGCAACTCCGAATCCGGCCCCTGGGTCTGGGATGGTTTCGATAAAAAAGGGGCCCTAATAAATGCAGCGCCGTCTGCATAGGCTGCGGCTACTAAGATATGCCGTCGGTAACGCCGCCACCCTTGTATGGTAACGAATTACCCTAGACGTTACCGACAGTATA